TATATAGCAATTTTTGGTAAGATCGACTCAATTCAACGGAAAAAACAGGTACAGAACTACAACTTTTCCCTTAAATATCAAAACACAAGTCAGGACTGCCACCTCCCCCTGAGAATTTGGCAAAGCAGGCAAGAGCTGCCACCTCTCCCTGCGAATTTGGCAAAACAGAGCACTACTTTCCAGGTTTTTTCTGAGCCTCAAAAAGCTCTGAATTTTGCAGCTATTGTGACTCACAGCTCTTTGAAAATAGAATTACTTCGTCAAATGCCCAAATCCAGGCCTAAACTGCAGTTGACTTAAAGAGTTACTAAACGTCTCTCTTAACCAAACGATCAAGCGAAAATCTAAGAAAGATTCTCCTTAATCAATTAACCGGTTTTACAAATAAATATGCCAAACAAAACTTAAGAAAACATGAGAAAGAGAACAACAAAAAAATAAGCAAAGGTTCGTTTTCTGAGAGCACGCACCCCGTCAATGTCAAAGACATGGAGTGGGAACACGTGGGTCCAGAAGATAGGACCTTTCTTTGCTGGCTTCTGCTCCGTGGTCCAGGTCTCTTCGAAGTTGACTGGATTCGTAGCTTCAGATCCTGCTCACAGCGCCATTAACTGTTGTAGGGGAAAAACATCACAAAGTTTAGTAAAGTAAAAAGAAAGTTTTATTTGGCATATATTCAAAAGGACAAAAGTGGGAAGCAGACAACCATGCTGCTACAGGCATGTCTGCCCGAGTCCAAAGAATATTACAGAATAGGCAAGAATGGGAAAACGGACAAGCATGCTGCCACAGCCATGTCTGCCCGAGTCCCAAGAATATTACAGAATAGGCAAGAATGGGAAAGCGGACAAGCATGCTGCCACAGCCATGTCTGCCCAAATCCCCTGAACAATGGGTTTTTGAATAGTAGTTTTAAGTACTCAGGGCATTAGGTTTGGCTCATAAAGTATCTTTGCCAAATTGGAGACTGGCCATTGACCACACCAAATAATCCAGAGAAGGCCAGGATATTGAGGAGCCAGGTGGAAACTCAGGTGAATTCTCCAGCTGGACTATTGGAAAACAGTCAGATTCTGTGGATAATCACTGGATTTCATAGGCCTGGTTCTAGAAGACCTCATTTTGTCATCTCTTGAGATGACAACAACATATCCAAGTACATCTCTCCTCTTTGCTCATTTATACCCCTAGTTGAAGATTCCTGTCTCTGGGTCCAAGGCCAAGGGCCACCTCTACGTCAGCTCATCCAGGGGTGCCCCCTTTAAGAGGTATGCACGGGGAAGTGGGTGGAGAAACCAAGGAGAACCTTTGGATGGAAACAGTACTGACGCCATTTTAATTTGTAATTAAATGATTGTGTAATAAGAATTAGCTTTTCAAAGCTTGAAGCTGAAAGCTTCATGGCCTGGGCAGCACGCCAGTGCTCTGGCTCTTAGCTCAACCCCAATGTTTTACCCAGTGCAGTGAACTGGATTGTCCTCTCCTGTGCTGCTGAGTTTGACAAACTTACCAGTTATAGTAGTCTCAGTCTATGACGATTTGATGCTGGGTTACAGCTTCTGACTCTACTGCCTCAATCGTTACAAGTGAATAAAGGCCTGGGTTCCTGTTTCAGAATTATTCATCACATTCTTTACATAAGCTCTCCACCCTATTAATTGGCTTTTCTTGTCTGGTTGCCAATAGCTACGTCCACTTACTTTCCCCATGGGAAACCTCTCTCAAAAGATGTTTGCTCTCCAGCCAGGATGTGTTTTAATTCCCGAGGACAAAAGGATCGGGTGGCCCTTCAGCAGCCCCCACCCAGCTTACCCTGAGCTCACTGAGCCCCAGCTGGGGATTAGTGTAGGAGCTGGCTGCATTCCAGGCCAGGAATTGAAGGTTGGTGTGGATTAGGAAGTGGGAAATGAGTGGCTCCTTCTCCTTCCGGAGCTCCTTTCCATTTGCCCATCAGTCATTCTTCCTTCAATGTGCCTTGCCATTGATACTGGTTAAATAAGGAGAGTTCATAAAATGATATTAAAACAGTACATTAACATAGCACTATGAGAACATGATGTTTCAAAACTCTGAAGACGTTCTTCCAAAACAACTGCTTTCTTCCCCCTCTTTTGACCGTATCTTTTGCCCTTGTGTTTCCTTGAATGGAGAGACTGTACTTTCGCTTTATATCAGGTGGAACCTTCAGGAGGTCTTCTTAGAGCTCAGAGGAGGTCAGCAGATTCCCATGTTCAAGTCCAGTGAGGAGAACAGTGATGACACAAAGAAAGAGTAAAGGTGATCAGAAAGTCCCAGCTCTGTTCAAGCCTGGCCTTCTGTCCTGACCAGTGTGCACCCTGCAGCGGTGACCGGCGACAGCCCTCTCTGGGAGCAAACCCTGCCACAAGCCTCTTTCTGGGCACCAGTGGGATGATTGGAAGAGCCCACATGTGCTAATGCTGCTGTAATTATCACTTGACCACAAGGAACACTGTTGTGGTTTTTTATTTAATCAGAAAGAAATCTTTGCTATAAGTTTATAAGATAATTTATTTAAAAGCACTCTATATAAAAGCAAAGCACAGAGTAGAAGTGAGGACATTTAATAATAAAATGTTTGTTGGTTTTTACTGGTTGTCTTCTCTTTATTTTCTTTTGCTCTCCCCACCCCATCCCCTAGTTTTCAGCCTGAAGAGTGAAAAGACTTAGGCTTACTGCACTGAAGAGGTTTAATTGTGGACATTAGAATGCTAAGAAAGACCAGGTATTTTTGTTTCAGTCACTTTATTCCAAATTCACATTGTTAAGTAGCTTGTGGGTATTCTCAGTCACTTTGGAATATTTTCTTTGCTTCTGTATTTTTGTTTTCTTAACCTCTGTTTCAGTTGCCAACAGTCTGCCTGAGTGACGATTTGCCAAAGAGTAGCTTTTATTTCAAACGTTTTGAAAGCTAAAAAATGTGTATGTGTACATGAATCTTATGAAAGTTAGTTTATAGCTACTGGGTTCTTATCTCTCTGCTTTCCAGACAGCTTAGCCACCTATTAGAGAACCATGCCCTTGGGTTTTATTACTCTTGTAAGGGAACTGATTTATAAAGCAGAAGACCTTCCCTCTGAGCACTGGAGCCTGCAAAACAGAAATCTGGTATCTTTGCTTTTAAAAGGCCAATTTAGCTCTCTCTCAGTGTTATTAGGCTCAGAGGACTCCTAATTGCCTACAATAAAGGGCATTCATGAGCTCTTTTCCTACATTCTTAATATTCATTAGAGAGAAGCCTCCCAGAAAACATAAGCTTCAGCATGCTAGTGGAGTACAAGGCCTTTAATCACTGGAAGTTATTTCTGTTCTGGAGTTTGTTTCTTTAAAAATATATTTATTTTTGTCCTTTGAAGAGATTACACAGTGAAAAGTAAGTCTCTTTCTCTGAAGGCACTTTGCTAGTGTGTTTATTAATAACTATAAACAATCTTTTCAAACAAACGGGAGAGCCCCATGCACATGGTTTTGTGCTGCTTTATCTTTAACAAGCACATACTCTTCTGTTGTGTGTCTATTGATTTATGTGTGCTTCACGTCAGACTGTCTGCGACAGCTTTGACCTCCTTTCAGTGTTGGCTAGTTTTTTTCTTGCTGTGGCCAAATTCTAGAAAACCAGGGCCTAGATGGGCCACCTGTTCTGAAGTAAAAGCAAATGACAGTTTTTGTTCGTGTAGGGTTTGAGTTAATGATGAAGCTTTTCAAACCCAGTTGACAGGAAATAGTATTATGTAGTGAAAAGCTCCTTGGTTTCTCTCAGAAAACTACCGTCTTGGGTAATTTTCTTAGTTAGGTTTACTTCTATATTTTGTATTTAATGCCCTCATGGCTGATTCTGAACAGGTGAAGCCTGATCATTGCAGTAGCCATCTTCTCTCCTTTTGTTTCAGCATAGCCATGATGTGTATTTGCAGCCCACTACTTCCCGGTGTACTCAGTCATCACCATGACTCAGCCATTCATTGCTTCCCACTAACTACGTTGAAGACGTCTTGGAGGGTGCGTGTAATCATCAGAGGAAAAGGGGACTTTCTGCCATGGGCAGAGTTTGAGCAAGTGCCCCTTGCACATCCCATAATAGACACAGGAGAGCCAAGAGATTGGAGAAAGGGCTGCACTAGAATTGTGAGAATTGTAGAATTGTAAGGATGGCAGGATAGAGACCAGAAATCTCAGCCACAAGTGGTGGCATGACTCCCATGTGCCATTACTGTACAGAGTCCCACCTTAAAGTTGCTTACCAGCTAGTAAGGTGGGTGAGTGGGATGGGGTATTACAGAGGATTGGAATACTGTGCCAAAAAGAGTTTTAAGCAATGGTGCTAAAAGGATGCAGGGGAGAGAGATACCAGGTGAGGAGGAATCCAAATGAGGCTACATGGAGGGAGTGCTGTTCCACTGGGCCTTGGAGTCTAAGACTGTAACAAGCAGACAGGATGGAGAATGCCTTACAAGAGGGAAGAACAACCTTAACAAATACCCTGGAGTGGGGGCCCGTGACCTATGCCCCAGAAATAAGATAGTTTGGCCAGTGTATAGGTTAGATGAAGATCTAGTAAAAGAATGACCCAGAAAGGTAGACTGGCCATAGCAGAGGGACAGCGTTAAGATTTTGTACTAATTTTGCATACAGCTGGTGGCCTTCAGAGATTTTGGCGTGAGTGTATACGTCTACTGCTAATGAAGGCTTCAAAGACTGTGCTGAATACGTACTGACAGGGCCTTTGTGACTTACATAAATCACAAATTATACTGTTGTTTGTTCAATTTTTCTGCCTCTTCCTACCTCTCTTCCTTCCGATCACCCCTGCCCCCACTCCAGGGACCTGTTAAGACAAGGTCATGTTACTCCCGGCTTTGGTAAAGCTGTATATAGCAAAGCTGAAGCTGAAATAAATGACACATACACGAAACAGCCAGAACTTGATGCATTGGGAAGGTCAGGGAAATGCTCAGTAGGCAGCAGCTCTGATGTTTTCTGAAGGCAAGCAGCTGTGGAAACGGCCTAAGGGCACTTGAGTATTTGGTGTTTTTGATTTGTCCATAAGAAAAATATGAATAAATATTTACCAGTTACCTGCCTGACAGGTGAGGCAATGTTGATACTGCACATTGGGAAGCTTGTTCAGGAGATGCTGTCTACCCAGGGAGCGTGATGACCGTGGGGGTCAAGGAGGCAGGAGGCTGACAGGAAATCCCCAGTCTCCACCCACAAAAAATTCTTCCCTTCTTAGTAACCCTGTTCATAGTCCAGGCTTGTCTTTGGCGGAGTTCAGCAGAGTTGTTTAGTTGAAAGTACTGTCAGGAATGTGCGCAGAAAAAAAATGTAGCGTTTTGCAATCCAGAGTAGCAAAGTGGGAGATGGTAAATATTAAAAACACTTCTCTCAGATACAAGTTGGGTGGAGGTAAGTGAAATTTGACTTTTCAGGAGAGGTTACTTTTCACTCCTAAATTGTCTTCCAATTTTTTTTTTCTTCAGAGGAAATTTCCATCAAAAAAAAAATTTTTTTTTTTTTTGCTTTTTAAAAGGAAATATGCTTTATATATCAGGCAGATCACATGCAATATAATATTAAATGCTTTTCATTATTATATAATAAACCCTCAAGGCAAAAATAAGCTATTTTTCCCACTACATAATGATAATACTTTTAACTTTAGTACTATTTTAGTGTCAATCACCTAGCAGTCTTACTTAATAAGAAAATAATTTCTTACTTCGAAATTATTTTTTTGAAGTGAGTATAATATTGATAGAAAAGTCTGATAGACCATACACAAAAGAAACTACACACTCCCACATGAATGTTGAAACAAAATTTCTAAATACAGTAAAATCTGCAAAAGCCAGACTGTATAAAGCGGAAACCTGTCAGAGAAGGAAAAGTCAAATATTTTCCACTAAAACGAGCAATAGAAAAGTATTAAGACTGTATCCTGTCAAATGTGGAAAACTGCGAGACCCGGAAAAACAAGACAGTCCTATCAAGTTTCAGCTCTCACAGGTTTCACTGTATTGACTCCAACAGCATCCACTGGTAGATTGTATTGTTTTTCACCAAACATTTTGGTACCCTTCCTTTGTGGTGCCTTTCCCTATGGGAGCATTATACATCCCTGCCTTGTTGAACTTAGGCCATGGGATTTGTTTTGGCCAGTGAATAGTGAGTGGAAGTGATATGCAAGATGTCTGAGTAAAAGTTTTTTTTTTTTTTTAAATTTTTAATTTTATTGTACTTTAAGTGAAAGTTTACAATTCAAGTTAGTCTCTCATACAAAAATTTATACACACATTTTTATGTACCCTAGTTGCTCTCCCTATACTGTGACAGCACACTCCTCCTTTCCACCCCGGATGTCCCGTGTCCATTCAACCAGCTCCTGACCCTGTCTGCCTTCTCATCTCACCTCCAGACAGAAGCTGCCCATTTAGTCTCATGTATCTACTTGAGCTAAGAAGCACACTCTTTGTGAGATCATTTTACGTCCCATAGTCCAGTCTAATCTTTGTCTGAAGAGTTGGCGTCAGGGATGGTTTTAGTTCTGGGTTGACAGAGAGCCCGGGGGACATACCTTCTGGTCTTTTTACTAGAATTTGAGTTCTGCACCCCACTTTTCTCCTGCTCCATCAGGGACTCTCTGTTGTGTTCCCTGTCAGGGTGGTCATTGGT